CTTATTTGATTCAATTCCTTCTTAGCAATCTTGTTCAATTCAAAATACATAAACGGAAATAGATAGATACATACGTACAATACATTAATAGGTGTGATATATGCCTGGTGCCCCGCAACTCTCAGTGGTTTATTGCATTTTATGTGCTTGAAAGGTTGTTTAAAATTCGCTTTTCGGCTCGCCTTTTAGTTAGGAGCCGTGTGAGCTCCATATAGGTTGTAATCCCCGGCTTAAATAAACCGCAGGGCTCGAGGGGCCCTTACAAGTAGCGTAGGACGTGTAAAGCGGTTTTCTTCTCTTCCTGGCAAAATCTGCATAGCTTTGCCTTTTGCTTAGACCATATGCAACTAACAACTGTGTAGGTTTTATGAACTTTGAACGATTTTTTAACGAAATTTATAGTTAATATCTCAATGCTTCAAAAGGCAATAATTACAAGTTTCAACTGAAAAGTGCTGACTTCTATTAATAAGGTGTTTCATCTCGTCTGTAATTACCCTTGATTTTATTTTTACTCCTTTGAGAAATAAATAGTGAAAACTGTATTCATTAAGCAGCTAAAATGATGGATGCTTAATGCAAATATTGCTTCTTCCAGCTTATTATTTTAATTAGAAGGCTCCAGTGTTAATTAATAAACTTGATGAAGTGAATCTTGAAATTAATTTCAATAAGTTTATTACTCTCAAGTTGAAAGCTTCTAATGTTTTTGAGAAGCAATGCAAAAATTTGTTAAATTCATTATATTTCGTGGTCTGATTGGCCAAATAACTTCTTTCAATTAATTAATCTTTTTATGTAAGGTATTGGTTGAAATGAAAAAGGGTCACTAGCGGGATACAAACCTGAAGGATGTGGGTTCGAATCCCGCTCGTGACACTAATTTTTCCATTTCATCCAATCTTACAGCACAAATTTGGGTACAAATCACAATGGTGAAGTTAAAAGATTATAAATTGACAATGTAAGAGTCAGTCTTTTAATGATATTATTAGGCGTTAGATTTATCAGATTTATATTGATAAAAGGCAGCTCAAATCTGTGGTTGAAAAGTGTAAAATCGTTCATACAACGCATTCATCATTGTTGTGTGACAACTAACTGGATGTTCACCTTTTGAGCAGCTACGGGCAGAGATGTGAAAAGATAAACATCAGATGACAGTTGTCATGCCATTTGCCCATTAGAGTGTCACCCTGATGCTAGAGGGTTCTGATTCTTTTATACAATCCTGAGGCTCATTCAAATTTGTAGGACCACTTCAACAGTCCTCTTTTAGGAAGCATGAGAAGGCGCTTCCGCTTAAATGCGTGACTTCATAATGTAATACTATATATATATAAATTTTGTGCTGGAAACACAACAACATAACATAATGTTAGCGGTAAAGTAAATATGACGTAAAGTAAATGATAATAATTCTTCAATTGACCTACAAAAGCCAGAAACAGCTGTTAGACAATGTTTTGTAATATTATATACATACGACTTACTGTAAATAGCATTGATATATTTTTAGTTTGCCTACCCTCACTGGGTTGTTATATTGAGAGGCAAACCAAAATGATAACATGATAGTATTATATTCATCATAATAACAGTGTTGAAGTATAACCACATAGTAGTCATAGCTGACATTACACCAAATAATTAAACGATATGGACATTTGTACTTTTCCCTTCTTAACTATCAAAGAAAAAAGTCTCAATTAGTCAACTCCCAAACCAAAAGGGTTCCAAGCTACAATGTTATAGTATGGTTGTTTCTGATCATTTCGACTTCCCTATAAAAGTTCACTTCAATTAAATTAAACGAATTTTATCCCAACCTAACAATAGACTCCCAAAGATTCTTTCTATGCAAATTATAGATAAAGAAATGCATTAGTTTAAGGAATAAAATGGAATATTAGACCGTATAAATTGGGCTTGTCCCTAGAGCAACATTGGTGGTGTTGAACTGTAGAGCCTTGTTATTTGTGACAATATAAAGCAACAACATAGCTTTGGCCAATTCAGACATCTTCCCATTCCATAGGGAACTCAGTTTACATCCTTACTTAATAAACCTTCCACTACCCTTTGATAACATGTGGTGGATTATTAAAAGTATAAGTAATAAGTTTCTGTTGAACTTAAATTTAAGTTATTTAACTATAATAATGAGAATAATACAGTATAAGTATTATAAACACTTCAAACTGCAAAACGTTAACTGTGAACTTTGTGGTGGTAAGGAGCAGGAAGATTTGTTTCATTTCCTGGCTACTTACCTGCCACTGGCTCCTGTAAGAAAGGCTATTTTAAATTAGAAGGTTCATCCTGCAGGGGTTTTGTTAGAGGACATTAATGACAAGGATCGACCTGTGAAGGTCAATTTTTGTAAAAAGGCTTCTTTACAGCCAAAATCAGAGGGACTAGATGAGTGCTGGCAACAGCTCTATTTTGCAGATTCCTTTATGTTTCTTGGATTCCTTGATCTAGTCTGTAACAGAAATACTATGGTAGTTCACTCCGGAAGGGTATATGGATATAAATTGTGGGTGATCATAAATATGTAATTCTGTACATACAAGTAAATCATAAATATGTATATACATGTAATATTTTTGTTTGATTTACTGATTTATACAAGCTCAAATTTGCCATGTACATTTGTAAGTGTGTCTCTTCTTTTTTGGGCCCAACCCTGTATTCGGAGAACCGAAAACAAGGTCCCAGAGGTTTTCTTATGATCGGGCCTGACTACATTAATTTAATTTAATTATCAGGCACCTTTTTTTGATATACAAAATTCCAATATTCAATTCAAACCAAAATAAATACGAGACCAAAATATTAATTAAATTTAAATCTTTTATTACAATTTATTTCCAAAAAAGATTACAATTTCTTTTATTAATTATTATTTTTAATTTAAAGAATCTTTTATTCTATAATAAAACCTATTTCAGAATCTACAAACATTAATTTTAAAATCGAAGTTAATTCCCGTTTTATAAAGAAAAGTAAAAGTAAAGGAAATTATTATTATTGTTATTATTATTAATTTTTGACCACCAATGAGAAAATACAATTAATATTTTAACATAACTTTTAAAATCAAATGTTATCTCTTTTAGTTTTCTTTATAAAAATATATTTTTTGCAACAACCATTTTTTAAATTAAAATACAATTATTATTTTTAGTTTTTTGACGCCAAAATATAAAATTTACTCACTTCAATTGTGTGCACACCAAAGTTTCTTAATTACAAATAAACAGCTCTTAACCGATGGAGGACAGAAAGAGAATTGTTTTTTTGACTGAAAAAAATAGCCTTTTCCTAGCCCCTACTCCTTTCACTGTCAGATGTGTGTGGAGGGGCATGGCGGTACATTCAAATCGAAACGTGACACTTACATATACTCGCACCAAGTTAAACCTATCACTTCTCACGGTGCTATGTCAATTCCAGCTTTTGAACTTTATAATAAATTACCAGCAGTCTTATCTGTCCATCTGCCGAGCTTGGGTACCAAAGGTTATCAACAGCTAGGTCATTTCAGCCCCCAACGCAATCACTTTTTTAAATTCAAACTCTATTTCTGTTATTATCATTCATTCTGTTTTATTATTACTTAAATTTGCCTTCTAATTTTTGAAGAAAGTTCATATTTATTTTATAAATACTCAGAACAGGGATTTTAGTTACCTAAATTAAATATTACCAAATTGTATATGTTTTATATACATATTAAAGAAAAAATATATTTAATAGTAATCAATTCCCAAAACAAAAAGGTTCCAAGCTACAATGTTTTGTAGTTTGGCTGTTTCCAATCATTTCGGTTTGTGTAACATGCATCAGCTTCTTATCATCTTCAGTGGTGCGTTAGTATTGGCGTCCCACCCTACTATAATCTTTAATAACTACTGAAGGTTGTGTATGACTATCACAGCATGTTCAACATTATTTTTTGATAATTCCCCTATTAGTACAATGTGTACTTATAATTTACATAATAACAATATTGTCCCCAACTAAAGAGGAATCACACAGACTCAACACTGAGGATGATGAAGATAGACTGACCAAAATAAAACGAATGATCATGTGACATGTTCATCAACCCAAAGACCCCCCCAAGAGGTATTCTCACACTACAACTTAATTGTTTAATTAATTCCTTCGAGAAACACAATATTATGATGGCTTTAAAAAAAGTAAAGTAATCCCTGTCATGACGGCTTAACGTCCTATTACCCAAGGGTGTCATGGATGAAGGATCAAACACCTTTTAATACTTCTTTCATATTCAATTAAAAAGCTATGGTCTATGCGAGGATTCGAACCCAGACTTCTAACATGGTAAAAAAGATTCAGACGCCCTATCAATCTTAGGAAAGTCCAAAGCTTCCTTGTGTATCATCATAATAGATACATCACTGGCATTCAAAGAATTTGTATGACATCTATTTACTATAATCAAAGAATAACACTTAAGTTTTCTAGAAACTGAAACAAGTCAATAAATACTGATTATCGAGTCTTGCTCTTACTAATTAGACTATTTCCATAAAAAGTTAAATTACATTTATAGATACAAAGGCTGTACAACCGTAGGCGTTTGAAGGGAGCATCCTGCGTCCATAAATACAACTTGTTTAAAACTCCTGGAAATCTACATTGTTACATGATTTTCATTACAAATTGTATTTTTCTAAGGCTGAAACACAAGTATCCCACTAATAATAGATAAAAGTAGATATATAACTGCTACTGAAAATTCCAAATCGGTGTACTTAATTGTTTAAAGAAATTTGTTATTAACTCTCTTTTACTTCACACACTGGGGAAAAAAAGATATTAAGCTTTTTTACGTATGATCGACTGACAAGAGAAATAAAGCCATTTTACACATGTCCTAAAATATTAATAGTAAATAGTTATAAAATTAATTTTTCCTTTTTAAAAGTAACAAGTTAGAGAGAATAATTTTATTTTGATTGTTTCAGGGGGGATGAGGTTGAGAGGTCATTGGAACTTTTGGACAGGGTACTGTCTGAGTTTGACGACCTTGAAAATGGGAATGTCACCCTCGAAGACGACGGATACATGAGTATGAACGGGAGGAGGCAGCAGAAAGAATTTCCACCACCCCCAGCAGAGGAGGCCCAAAGAATCATATCCACTCTACTTCCCAGGTATATATTTATTTTTATTTTAATCAAAATCTTATATTTTAATTATTTATTTATTTTAGGGTATCACCAAGCAACTCAAGTAAAAGGACCAATGGATCTAGACCACTACAGGCTAGTTTGACTTTAGGGCACGAACCAAGGCTTGATCGTAATCACATTACAACAATAGCTACTCAGACAACCATTGTAACATTATATCTAATAGTACAAAAAGCAATATAATTTTAAATATTTTCATTTTTGTTTCTACAGCCCAAAACCAAGCATCTTCGACCCTATGGTTGGCAAAATGGTACCCTTGGAAATGGAGGAGTAAATGTATGCATAGGGGGTGGTTTACCCCCAAGGACGGTTGCCACTGCAGTTGAGCGCCACCGGGAAGTGAAAAGAAAAGACGAAACCCGCTTGGGTTCAGTCGCAGAGGCCAATGATGGAAATTTTTCTGATGATTCACTGGAGGGTGTACCTCCTCCACCTCCTCCTCCGATTATACCTAATAAAAGAGGCAGTATCGCATGGGAGGTTCCTCTCGATGACGATGAAGCCCTTTATACTCCAGGGAGCACCAAAGTTATAGGAAGAAGAAGGAGGCGTTCCACTGATAGATCAAGTAATTTCCTCGTAGTAATTCACCTTATTTTTTTTTTTTTTTTTTTTTTTTTTTTCATTTCTACAGCATTTAACTCAAATTTTAGTTGGATTGTTCTCCAGTGAACAGAGCCTGTTATCTCTGGTTTTGTACCAGCTGGCCATAAGAATCATGCACCTTGGGTTTTAGCAGTCTGGGGTCAGCCCTCGGTCATACCTGTCCCGCCACCCAAGTTGAGAACCAGTGGGTGTCAAATGCTAGGTCATTTCAGCACCCACTGCCATCAGCCCTCTCAAACACATTCGTGCTAATAAATACATTCACTCTCAATGTACACAAAACGGAACACAAAACAAGATCTATCTGCTCCAAATACAATAAAGCAACCCTCTTTTCTCCAAAAATTGGAACAGGTCAGTGACTCACTGCCATTCTCAAGTAGAATTCTCATATAGAGTGGCATTCCTACACACTATAAATGGAACCAAGGAATGGCACCTTTCAATTAAGTGAGACTCAAGAAGCAACCTTTCTCTACTTGCCAGATACTGACGGAGGCTCGTCAACCTCACATAGCCTATTTTTGTAATCCAGTGAGAATGATCCCTATTCTACAATTCATATTCCTTGGAGGGCCATCCAAAGGCTATGCCCTTAATACATAGGATCTTCTCTTCCAATCCAACCCACTAATACTGGCTTGATTTTGATTATATTTTTTATCCCATCAGAGGGCTTGACTGTTATGGTCAGAATATGGTGATTTTTGTTACCTTCTAGACCTATGTGTCTGGCAACCCAGACAAGGACCACCCTTTTGTCAAGATATTCCAGTTTAAAGAATCTCTCCAACAAGTACACCAGGATGATCATTGATGATCAATTTACAATAGAATTTGAATGAAATTAAGTTCTTATATTTTTTAATCATTTTCACACCACATTATTCATTATCAAATTTTATTAGTGGTGTAATTCCACCCATCAAATTATTGTAGTATTATATTATTTTTTATATACTAATTTAACTTTTTTTTTTGAGGTTCTGGATCAATGGGTAGATTAAGAGATATGGAGGAATGGCCAGATCCACCAACAGGTACTGAAGACGGATCAATATCACCTTTGTCAGACTCAAGCCATTTGGATTCTTCAACCAGTAGCCGACAAGAAGAAATCCTAGCCGAATTATCTGATAATATGTCTTCTGGAGGCACATATGTAATACGGAAGGGAAGGCGAAAGGAAAGAAAGCCCATGCCTCTTCCTCCAGAAGCTAATGCCATTGAAAATGGCGATTTGAAGCGAGGAAGTTCAACATTTGATAATATAAAATCTCTTTTAAGAGAAGGACTAATTGAAGGCCTTGACGAAGCTCCACCAGATTTTGCACCCCCGAACCCACCTTCGATTGTAAGAGTTGTTTCATTACCTTCATTCGCCTCAGAGAAGCTTCCAAAATCTAAATCCTCAAGCCTAGAAGTGCCTAATGAGGCCGATGAAGAACATCCACAAAGATTTGACATTGGTAATTTGTTTTTGTAATCTATTATTTTTTGTAAAACTTATTAATATAGTATGTGATATACATTTTTTTTTCTTTGTTTAGGGATTCAAGTAATAGGAGACCCTGATTCCCAACCTCAATCTCTTCAAACTGTTGCTGATCAGACTGATTCAGACAGTGAAAAGAAACGTGGCAGTGTCATAATGCTCAATGGAGGAACTGATACTTCTTCAAATGAAGCATTAATGGCGGAATTAAAAAAGGAATATGATACAGAAAGTATCAACAATAATGAACCGACAGAACTGGAAGTTAAAGTGGAAGTTGGAAAGGAACAAGTGTTGGAAGACCCTTGGCTCACAGCCGCAGAGATAAGTCAGGTAATTGCCATCATTTATCAATCAGTTATTCACATCTGACCAGAGTTTCACTTCTATAAATTTTGTAAAGGTTCAAGTGATACCAGTTGTGGAAGAAAAGTTGGTAAAAGACCCGGAAAAACCTCCTAAAGAGTTCAAAGTAAAAGTCGAAGTTGTACAACATGAGTTTGGCCCTTTACCACCGTCCCCGGTAGAGGAAGATGAAGACGAGTATGCAGATATCCTCCGTCCAAGTCCTGCACAAACTCCAAGGGGCAAAACAGGAGAGAAAAGGGAACCATTTTACAAGTAAACAAACTAACCTAATCTTCTGACTGATAAATTACTTTACTGTTAGATCAATTAATTAATCTTTTTATCTAAGTTATCATAATGATAGCTCAAGTGGTTTGAGCAGTGGCGTATTGAGCCAAAGGTTGTGGGTTCGAATCCTGCTTGTGACAATAACTTTTCATCTCAACCAAGACCTTATATAAAATTAATAATTAATTGAAATAATGAATATGTCAATTATGACCATTAAACATATATGGTTTACTATTAGAGTTGACTTTATTCAAATATATTTAAAATTAATAATTTTGAATGCTCATCTGCTCAACCATCATCTGGTTACATGAGATGATGATATTCATTTTCAATTATTTAAATCATAAATTGTAAGCTTCCATGTAGTCAGATTACATAGTATCAAAGTTTTAACTAAACAGAATTAGAAGATTACTTTAAACACTACAGTACTTTTAACACCTTAGACAATTGTCAGAACAGAACAGAAATTTTATTAACATTGTCTACCCATTTGATATTATATATAAATTGAAAGAGGAAATGAGAGTGATATTGTCAGCATAAAGAACCATTTTTATGATTTTTGGGTGAGAAATTTTTGTTAAAATATTCAAGGATAGAGCCTTGAGGAACACCAGCAACCTCCAACTTTGTGGTTACACAACAGTTAAAAACATAACCTCAAATGAACTCACCACCCTTAGAAACTTAACAACAAAATCATACTTTGTAATAGAACAATCAGCATTAAAATAGTATTAGTTTTAAAAAATGTGAAAAGTTAACCATTGAACAAACATCTTTGTTGGCCAGTTTGTTTTCTTATTGTGTTGAATTTAAGTCAAGCTTACCAAAATTATTTTGTAGATGCTTAGAGCCCCCGGCCTCTGATCCACTTGGAACTAATTTCCTAAATAAATCTAACCCTGACCATCATCATCGAGATGGTACATCATCGTTGAAGACAAGGTCTATGGATGCAGGGTTTACTAGAAACCATAGAACACAACATTCATCTTCAAGAAGAGAGGTTAATCTAATATTTACCAATTGTTGTAAATAAATCTAATATATACATTTGCTCTCATACTGTTTAAAAATTAACTATTATTAAAAACTGAGGTGTTTGTTTTAAACATTTAATCTCAGATTCCAGGGGAACGGCGGACTCTCCCTACAGAACTCCAAGGCCCTTCAAGAAGAAGGACTTTGCAGAAAAGGAACTGTGGGGTGAGGGAGGAAGGGTCAGGTGGACATATGCAAGTGTCATGTTCATTACCTGAGACCCCGATTTTTGCCAGAGGTTGCGACATACCTCGTACACCCCATCGAAGGGCTCCAGACGTTCCAATTACCTCCAGGACAACTCCAAGGCAAATGCCGTCTTCCAGCTACAGGAGCACAGGTTAGTTGAGCTTCATTGATCAGTTTTAATAATGTACATATTTGGGACTAACCATAATTATCTTTTATTGTTGAATTCTGTCGTGGAGAACAAAAATATAAATTGTTGGATGTTTACTTAGAAATGCATTCTATACAACTTTTGCTTATTCCAACTTTTAAAAAGAAAATACTTTGCTGGTATTATTTTTATTTTTTATGCAGTTGGCAAAGTTATTCTTTGTATATCAAAATATGGTAAGAGAAGTTAAACACAACATTTTTACTGTTACCTTTAGCACTCTGTACTCAAGTTAGATGTAATTTGGAAATGTGTTGAAAAATTAAAAATTTAAGAAATAAAATTAATTATCCTTGTCCCTTTAAAAACATTAGCAAAATATTAATATATTAAAACCAAAAAATTAAATACAAAATAAAGTTTTCTTTACATGTAATTGTTTTGTTTGTTTTTTTGTCTTGGAAGCTCTAAAAAATCAAGCTATTTAAATATTTCTTTTTGCCAAATTAAATTTTAATGATTATTATTTTCAAAAATCTGTAAAATTATGCTGCTCGCACATTAATTATTTAAAATATATTAGCATTGTTGGCAAATAAATTGCCTTGTACTCTTAAATATACTAAATGAAATCGAAGTTACAGCAATTTTTGTTATTATCAGTTTGTTTATAAAAATAATACTTATTAAACTAACCTGCTTTTGATGATAATGCTAATCACTTACTAATGCCAAGGTTTGCTTAATACTAAACTTTTCCAACTAATAAAAAGAATATTTCCAGAAAAACTTCTTTTTTTTCTCTTTGTCACTCTCTCTCTTTCTCCCCTATCTCTCACTGTTTGTCATAGTCTAATTTAGATATGTTTAGATTTTTTTAATAAAACACTTTTTTAAGCACATTCTGTAATTTTCGATGTCTAGTCATTTTTAAATTAGATTTAAGCTTTGTATTTTTGTCTTTGTTTTGCTTGGTTAAATGAATATTTCTGTATTTTCATTCATAACTTTATAATTTTAAAAATTGAGTAGTCAGTAGTATTTATTATTAAAATTGTCAATCCTTTCTGCTCTAATCTATTTTGCAATTTAAAACATTCTCTTTTGTTAAGAATTGTTTTATTATTTTTCGTTCTCCATGACATAATTTGATTTAAACTGTTAATTTCTTGTTATATGTTAGTTGTAATGTTGGGAACATTAATTCTCTTTAACCAAATATTTCTACATTACTATGTCATTCCTTATTAAGATATTAAATATATTTTTTAAATAATTAAAATGGTTTCAAATAAATGTTAATATTTGCAAAAAGTTTATAATTTCTTCTTTATCTAGTAAAATGTGACATGTTTTGGTTTTAATAATGTTCCAAACAATTTTATTTTGTATTGAGAAAATCAATTTTATCTCTATTTAGCTTTGTGAAAATTGTTTGAAATACTTCATTTATTGTTATTCATAAAATTTATATAGGAAATGGCATATTATATTGTTAAAAAATGGAAATTGGGATTTTTTCTCTTAACTTTATTTATTCAAATGAAAAAGTATTCAAAACAATTGATATCAAAGATTAATTATAAATTAATGATGTTTAATTAATAATTAGATAAGATTGATTTATCATATATCAAATTTTATTTACATGACTAAAAGAATCATTAGTTGCTTCACTATAACTTAAATCACGTTTTATTCAACAAAAACATTAATATAAAACCAAACACTAGTCCACACAAATAATTTTCATTTCATACAGATCATTTACACTGCATACACGTTACTAATTTAGATGAGACTGAAAATGCAGAAAAACTCAAAACAATAATACAAAGACTTTTGCCTTTATGATGAAAGAATGGTCGACCCACAGCATAAAGATGGTGATGACGATGATGAAGGATCATATAAGGGTCAAAAGGCGGTTAAAATTAGATGACCTATTTTGAAGGTGGCGAACTGGTTAGTCTTGTATTTTCTACTCTGGTTCGAGGTTCGAAACCCAGTAGAGCCCACGGCATTTTAATTGAATATAGTACAAAAAATATTATAAAGTATTTGACTCTTTGTCCACGACACCAGTGCATTGAGCCCTCCTGTATGACAGGAACTCTAATTTGTAGTCTCTTGGCCCTTCTATGATCCTTCAACATCATCAACTTCCTTTAGAAACGGAGCAAATGATTAAATGATTGCACAATCTCAACAGTTGACATATTGAATAAAATGACAAAACGAAATTAATAAATGGAAAGGGACAGATAGGATGATCAGAAAAGATCAAAATTTGGACAAAATCGACAACTTTTGACCAAAAAGGCAGTTATTATTTTGCTAAAATCCAGAATCACTAAATCAACTGTTTTGATTATTTTTATTATACTCAGTACAAAAAAAATAAAGCTTAAATTAATTACTAATTCCATTAGTTTTGTTCAAATAATATGAGTATTTTATTGGTAGATGACAAAAACTAATTTTATCAAAAATTTTGTGTATTAGTTGATCTGTTTTGCAGTTAAAACCATTGTTCATAATTTTTATAGGTTTAAGCTGACAAATATAAAAATAAAATGTTTTACATTTTTTATTAAAAACTAGACCTAAAAGGAGCATCGTTGGCCGCAATGGTTTAGACGTTGACACGGCGTTTCTCACTGAAGGATCCCGGGTTGAATCCAGTGGCCCTGCATCCAAATCCGACATACTTAAAAAAAGACTTTCTTTTCCAATTTTCCAAAAACACTGGCACCCCAAGGGTTGATAGGACCTCTGCTGTCGCAAACCCTCGTTAAAAATGAATAAATAAACCTGAAATTTTAAACAAGAAAACAATCAGTTTATCAAAAAACAGATTTACTATTACACTGAATATTTGATTAATAATTAAACAGGAGGGCAATTTTAACATTTTAAATATTCCACTCCAAAATATATTCCTTTTTGTTATTTTAGTCGTTAGCAATAAATACTTAAATTATTCTTTTTATATAAGGTCTTGGTTGAGATGAAAAATTTAGTGTCATGAGTGGGATTCGAATCCACAACCTTCAGCTAAATATGCCTGCTCTAACCACTTGAGCTATCTTGATTTCCATCGACTAGTACACCAACTCCCCATCTCAATCTACAATCTTTCGAATTTTCCCTCTTTTTGCCATTTTTCATGTGGATTCGAATCCCGCTCATGACACTAACTTTTTCATCTCAACCAAGACCTTACATAAAAAGAATAATTAATCGAAATAAATAATATGGTCAATTAGACCACTAAACATAAATGGACATAAATTAATATTTAATGTTATCATTGCTGTAAAATTAAATAAAAATATGCACGGTTTATCAATTCTAGTTTAAAATAAGCCAAAATTGAAAATCATGTTATGTTCAGAACTGTTGTCCTACTGATTGCCCTGGCATAAATGTTAAATTATATTTATATTGATTTTGTATAGTTAGATAATAAAAAGTGTCGTCTTTAGGTATGAGTTTGAATGAAGCGATGACAGGAGCAGAGTTGCTCAGATTGGCAGGTGGACCAGCAAGAGGCTGGTATCCTCGCCATCGTCAGCCAAGACCTGCATCCGTCGAACACTTAGACAGACTCAACCACCACGGCCTCAGCCCTGGTACTCACCAACCACCATCAGGCCCATGGGACCCAGCAAGAAAACCGCAAACCCTACCTCCGAACCTAACCCCGAAATTCTTCCACCGATCGCCACGTGAAGCTCTGAGGAGAGTCACAAGTTTACTCATCAGGAGAGGTAACTTGCAATTTTGCAGGCTTTTCATTTTGCATGCTTCCCTGCTTTTTAGTATCATACCTTAACAGTACATAACTTTGTCACTTACTTTTTGCAATAATCAATGCACAAGTTAACAGAGAAATATTCATTTACTAAAAGCAACAAGAGACTCATGTAATTTTTTATTACTACCTCAGGAAAATTTATATATTAATTTAAAAAGTTTTAATACATATGCAGGCTATCTTAATTTTTTTTTTTTTTTTAATGCGGTAGCTGTTTAAATGAAATAGGTTTTTTAACCTGGAAGTAATTACATTTATTGTTTTATTATCATAGGTTATTATTTACTGATTTGATTATGAGATTTGTTCTTGTTTTTGACCCTGAAAGGGCGCACGATTTGGGCTTATATCACCTCTGGATTCCCAATTTTCAGAAATGTATTCCACGGTCCTACTTTTTTTACCACCAATTGGAACCACTAATTGGTAGTATTAATTTAAATTTGGGTTTTTCTTTTAGACTTTTTCATGACTTCCAGTTGTGGCTTCACAATTGAAGATAATATAAAAATATTTATCTTTCACAGTTTGCTGATATCACTGCTATAAGTTGCTTGTTTAGCAAGTTTCCACCTTCATTCAAAACAGGATGAAAAAGATAAAATAAGGAAATATTATATTTATCTTTTACCCTAATTGTTCTGTTAGATATTCTTTGATCAACTGACCTTATTTTTTATATAAATATATTTTATTTTTAATTATTATTTATCAATATTTTTATCAATTAAGAGTTTTTGTTTAAACCAACCTTTTTTAATTACGTTTCAATTATTTGAAAAATAATAAATTTTTTGGGTTTATAATTTTACTAAAATGACTAATGTTCAATGCAATCTCCAAAGAAAAAGAAAATTTGCTAAGGAGAAATAAAATTGTACTTCCTCTTGCTACACATGGCAAAGTCATTTGGCCTGAGTCAAGAGTGACATGCTAGTGGTCCTGAGTTTGAATCCCAGCATAGCGTTTGGACTTTTAGTTGAGAATAATTTGGAAAAAGTATTGTAGTCCTTCTGACACCTCGTCCATGATACCCAAAGAATAGTTGGATTGTGTAATAGCCTTATTGTATAACAAGAATTACCTTATTGGTCATTTCTGATAATCATAGTCATCTGAACTTTGCTACTTTGCTCTGTCAATTGTTTCAGCATTGCACCATCTTTAAATTGTCATTTTACTTAGTCCACATTATTACATTTATTAAATTGACTATTTATTCATTATTCAGAAACATAGCAAACTTTTAAAATCCGCTTCTTTAAGTACCACTATATGAAAATTTATATTCTGCAGCCTTTGATTCCTTACATCATTCTGCATTACATTTAAGCTTTTCTATAAGAGAATTTTGTCCCAATTTATTACTATCTTTAAAAAAATTGTATTCTTCTGCAGCTTCAGTGATTCAGGGTCTGGTGAGCAGCTTGCATTTTTTATATGTGGGTGCAGATCTGATACAGGGTTGATGGAATGAGAATAAAAATATTACTCTACATTGTGATTATTGCAGACCACCTACTTGTGCTGCAGAAGAATATAAATCTAATTGAAGCTTATTGTGAGCAATGGAATTTTATATTCTTATTTTACTTATTACTTTATAATAAAAAAATAAAAAACACAATGTGCATGATGCACTGAGTTGATATGTTAAAACTTAATTTGTCTTTAATGTTATTATATGGATTTAACTGAGTGTAGACTGTGAGTACTCAAGATAGATATTTCACTTGTAAAATCCTCTCCTTTAAGTGCCTCAACTAGAAAAATTTACATAAGGTTTTTATTACCAAAATACAACTAAAACACAATGCCCATGATCCACCGTGTTGATATGTTAACGTTTAATTTGTCTTATAACATCTATACTTTTGAATGAACATGGATTACTCAAAAGCATAGCTCTCCTTTAAGTATTTCAATTATAAAAACTTATGCTTAATGTAAATATTTTAAAAAATACAACACCTATAGACAGATAGATTGATGGCATGTTATAGAGAATTTGCAGTACAGCAAAAATTCTCTCGTAAAGTTATCTCTGTCATGTAGGGAACCGCAACCGGGTTTAATTAAGGCGTGGTCAAGGTAAACCGGAGGAGGACAGACGATGGACAAGGGGAAAGAAACTGAGAAAGTGCCGGGGGCCACGTGTTTCCAAGTCTTCAGACGGTCAGACTTGGGCACGTGGCGGCTGGAGCGTGCTGCCTTCTAGCGCGTTGCTGTGTAACGTAGCCCGTGCCACGGTGGTGCACTTGCGTTGGATGTGAGGCGATCGGGCACCACAGTCCGTACAGATCCGGCCATCCTCCCCAGAATTCGCAGTGAACACATTCAGCCATCCCCACCCTAGGGGGGGCTCACTTTTATCACCCGGGAGCCCGATCGACATCTACCCGAACCACGGGCTTTGGGGTGTGGCGAATTTTCACCAGTAGCTCCCTCGGTTTAGTACGATTTCAAAATTTTTTTTTTTTTTATTTGACCCTAACATGGACCAACCCTTAAGTCTCACATTTCCATAGGGGATGAATTAGCAATTTCCAAAAGGAAGCCGAACTTTTGCTCGATTGCATGACTCTTCCCTTTTCCTCCAGGCATGACTGACTACAGATTATCCCTTAAAATCTCTCAATTAAATAATCCATAATTAAGACAATTATCTTTTAATTCGGTCTCTTCTCTTACTGCCTAGTTGCACCCACGTTTCCAACCACTTTCTATATGGCTCGATCTAAATTTCTTACAATCCTATTTTTATTAATTAGGCACATAGATTTATTTGTATTTTTATAGTATTGCTTTCTCTAAATTGTTAAATAATTAATTTATTGCCGTTCATGAAGCCTGGCAGCCATTATCAAGTTAGTCTAAGGGAAGGAAGACTTTTATTGGAAATATCAAATTGAATTTTCCAATTACCCAAACTTTTCATGTAACGTCTTATTGAAGGCGAAAAATACGCCCTTTATCATGCAGTTCATTCACATTTATACATACTGGGTGGCCCCAAATCATGGGTCAAAAATTCAAAATCTTATAGGAAATGGAGTAAAAAAGGTGTCCTATAAACCTGGGCCCGGAAAGCCAGTACAGTGGTAGGGTTTAAAAAAAGTTTTCTGACCTTATTTGTGAAAAAATAAGAAACATCTACTTCTACAATAAAACAACTCGAAACAACATTCGTAGTGCATCAGCATCGAATGAGACTAAAACCATCCTGATTGGTTGAAAATTTTTAATTTTCGTGATTTTTCAGTTATTAGGGGGAGGGGCTCAAAACATTCACAGTTTCTGGCATTTTTATCGATAAATTCAAAAGATGCACCCCTATTAAAAAATGTTCCGAAACAACCCTTGTCGGTGATGGAATTCAGCGTCCAATTAGACCAACCCCAGTCCAATTGATAAAAAAATTCCAAGATTTATCGTACTCACTCAATGTATGATACCCATTAGAAAACAGTGATTTTCGATTTGTGTGACAAGTAATAAATTTGCCAAAATTGGAATGTTTCGTCAATTCGACTGGGGTTGGTCTAATTTGACGGTGAATTCCATCACCGACAAGGTTTTCCTATAAGGCTCGTTCAATTTCCTATAAGATCTTGAATTTTTGACTCATGATTTTGGGCCACCCGGTGTTGCGGTGAAAACGAAACAAACTGTAAATCCATGGCATGCCACGCACGCGATGCTTGGCTATACCGGTATCAATTGATTCAACAGTTTATCATTTTCAAATAAGAGGGGAAAAAATAAAAAAGTTATTTTATTTCCCCTCTGGCTAAGGAATGTTAAGTTTTGTTTATGTTCATTTAAATGATATAATTGTATTATTTCTCATATGTAACTATTCATTAGAATATGTAACATTAATTTAATATTTTACATTTTATTTATGTTTTTCACTTTTATGCTAAGTTAACTCCCGCTTGTTATCCATGTCGTGTACTTTTGTAGTACTATGTATCTGATTTTTGTATTTAAAAAAAATTAAAGTATATTATAAAAAATGTTAGCAAGTACTGGGAATCTTGCTTTTGAAATTTCTCCTTTAGTATGATACAAATTTATGTCAGATGTATTTCCGTAGAAATATTTTTTTTAAATAGAATTCACATAAAAACCTAATTTAACATCCGATCCAACAGTAATTTTACTCTTGCATGACAAAATTGACTTAAAATATGTGTGTGTTTTCGTAATTAAAAGTTTCCTCGGGCATAAAATATGCACTTGTTCGTGCGTAAGTGTATTATTTTGTAATATATTCATACATTACACCTAATGTTTTACATTAGGATACTTAAAGGAGAGGATTTTAAGTTAGATGCGTTTCTCTCTGCTCAACTGAATAATGTTAATAATGTTTTAACATATGAACATAATTTGGATCCGGCACGTAGATTGGGTGTAATATTGTACACTTAAGTAATACCTATTTTTGTACCTATTGGTGTACTTTAAGGAGAGGATTTTAAGGTCGATACTCTTCTCTCTGTTCAATTAAATCAACGTAATATTGTTGAAGATAAATTAAAATTAAGTTTTAATCAACATATTGTAGATCCGGCCCGTAGTGTCTGCTTATTTTATTTTCTAATATTGTACACTTTAATAATGCCTAAATTTTTATAATTGGGGGGAACACAAAGAAGCGATTTACAAGCCACCTATTCCACAAGCAATTACAAGCACAGTAATGTCTGCTCAATTAAATCAATGTATAATGTTAAAAATAAATTAAGTTTTAATATATCAACATATTGTGGATCCGGCACGTAGATTCTGTGTTATATTTACATTTAAGTAATACCTAAATTTTTAATATTGGGATACTTAACGAAGCTACCTATTTCACAAGGTTAAAGACTATCAGCCCTATCGAAAAAATGTAGTAACGATAAATGTTAAATAATAAAACGACTGAGTGAGAGGGAGGGAGAA